TCCCGGCTCGGCGGCGTCCCGTTAGAGGTGTCGGCGCAGCGGGTGGGAGTCCGGCGGGCTGGCTGAGGCTGAGCCGGTGCGGGCCTCTCCCGTCAGCTGCTGGGTTACCGTCCTTCGCGGAACGCTGGGGTCTTCCCCTGCCCTCGGCGAGAGCTCGGAGCCCGCTCGGGCACTCGCGGAACATAGGTGAGAATGTTGTGAGGGCTCCAGGTCTCGTACTGGCTGCCCCTTAGCGGTGCCCTTTGGGGCTGACCGAACAGCGCGTGCTCTCGTCGTATTATGAAGGGCTGGGCGTAGGGGAAAGTTTCTTTGCAGATTCTTAGTTGGTGTAAATCTTGCTAAGAGTGTGCTTATTCAGGAGTGATTCTTCAGCTTCTCCGTTTACCCTTTTGTTTCTTTTTGCGTTGATATGTTCAAGACAGGAAACCGGTAGTTTGGTTTATTATTGTGATAGGTAGGATGAGGAGCCCTGAGTAAAGATCAGTACTGTATGCCCGTTACCGTAATGATCTTTGGCATCTTGACTACAGTGATCTCCAGATGGCTTTAGTCTCTTCCACTTCCTGTCAGTTTTGAAATACGACAATGTACAAAAACGTTACCGCTGTAGATAAGTTGCCTACTAAATGTTGAACGTGTTGATGCTGAATGTGTAATTTGTCTCTTACAGGGGGTATCTTGACAACATAACGGCAATTGGGCCCAGAACAGTTGGAAGTCCAGAAAATGAAGTTCTTGCAGTTAACTACCTCTTAGAACAAATTCAGGCAATAGAAAGAGAAAGCACAGATGCTCACAAGATATCTGTAGACATACAGAGGCCCACCGGCTCCTTCAGTATTGACTTTTTAGGAGGCTTTACTAGTTACTATGCAAATATAACCAATGTCATAGTGAAGCTGGAACCCCGAAATGGAGCTGAGCATGCAGTGTTATCCAATTGTCACTTTGATTCCGTACCGAATACCCCAGGTAGGTCCACATGTTCATTCTGTTTTTCTGTATATTACATGAGCCCCAGAGCTTGGCTCGCTGTCTTCTCGTATCAAGCAGCATTATAGCCACATGCTAGAATACTGCATGTGTCAACTCGTCTGCTTGATTTCCATGAGATTCAGTATTTAGAGTGACAGGTTGGTCCTATGAAAGTCAGGATTTCACTCTTACTTTCTGGTAGGCAGCAAATTAAAGATACTATATTTAGATTTCTAGAAAGTTTGGTTATATCTGACTTCCTTGTAATTCACTGCTTACGCATATGGTTCGTGTGCTGCTTCCACCTGTTGTTCAGGTCTTTCCATACTTCTGTAGTGATTTAATCCTGGCTTTCCTTTCACAGGATGCTTTGTGCCAGAGAATGTTCCCACTCCCACTAACCAGTCTGTGTTTTCCCCTCCCTTTGCGGGTATTGTACTTTATATCAAATTTTTAGTGTTATATCCTTAAGCGATGCCAATTTTTTTTTTCTTTCTGCATTCAAAGCTTCTGCCTCAAAAGACTGTAGTGATCAAAGATTAAGGTACTGTTGCCGTGGTAGTGTGTACATCTCTCTCGCTGCTACTTTCACCGTCACTGTTGCGTAGTCTCTTATTCTTGTCCCTCTGCATTTTTATAAACCTAATCATGTTAAATAATTATTGCAGCAAGGGTGTAAACAGCTTTGTAAATACATGGTTTTAACAGTGCCAGGAAGGTAGGGAACTGAAAACTGCAGGAAAACATTCATTGCAACACTCAGCTACAGGTGTGTGTGTGCCTGTCATTGCGGTTGAATAATACCTACAGATTTCAGTCACTAACAGCACAGCTTTTACTGAAGTTTCTTCACTTACACCCCACGTGGTATTTTATTTTGGGGGGTAAACCTTCTGTTCTTGAGCACATGCAAATAGCCTTCATTATTGAGAAAACAGTTGGGTATTGGGTAGAGAAACAAAAACTTGCTGTACTCTTTGTGCCTCTTTTCTGTCAACAGATAGTATACAGAACTTCTCTTTCTCCTCAGTCATGTTTAGGCAAGATGAGTCTCCAAATGAAGCTTAATAACCGCATGGTTATTATACATGCTCTGTGATTTAGGAACTTCAGAGATGCTAATTACTGTATTTATAGTCTAAATATGGCTCCCTAGACTTAGAGTACTTCACAGGCATAATACAATGATTATTGAAAACTGCCTTTAAAGTGATGCCCGAGGTAAATTGTGTGTATGTTTCTATGGGTTGTAACACAGGATTATGTTTACATCAATTACTTTCTTTATAGTTACTCTCACAGTAAAATATTTCACCCACCTTGCACAGAGGTGCCAAAAAATTTTAGGGATTTTTATAGGATTGTACAGAAATCTGTGGAGGAGCTAGAAATCGGCCTGTATGCTTGCCTTTATTCAGAAAGCAGCCTAGCCCTTTACCACAACAGTGAGGAACTGCTCTGTGTTTTGTTGTCTTAGTGTGAAACTTGCACATAACCTAAGCAACAACCTTTTGTTTTCTATTCTTCTGTATTTCTGTAAGTTATTTGTTTACATTTTTTTTGATTTTCAAAAATGTGTTATTTAACCAGAATCATCAGGACTCAGTGGTTAATGAGTAATATAGTTGAAAATCAGATAATAAAACATAATCTGCTGTTGATGCTTATGCATATGAAATGAGTAAAGTAAAACTCAGTAAACCATTAGAGCTTCAGTGTTAGAAAGCTTGAGTTCCTTGTGAAGGAAAAACACAGTAAATTTCTAAAACATGTCTCTTGTTCTAATGGTACTAATTTTTACGGCCTATTTGATTCTTTTCTAATAAACTTGAAAGCAGAAACATCCTTAAAATTATCATCGCAGATATAGCTGATAACATGGTTTTATTATTAATCTCCCATCAGTTTTGCCGTATATGAAGTATTTGAGGATGATAACTTTCTCTTTGAGCTTGTGTCATAGTCTATGGCTACATGGCTGCTTTACTCAGATGTAAATCTGTATGTTTGTTGAAGCCAATAACTTGTTTTTCTTAGCTTCACAGCAAGGCAGATAAGTGATTAGTCTCGCTGAAAACTATAATCGCTTGTCTGCTGAGTTCTCAACACAGCATAAATTAGATAAAAGAACTCAGTGTGGCCAAGAGTAGACTACTGATAAATTCGGGTGGCAATATAATCAGGGCTTTAAATCAGATGTTTGGCGGGGGCTTTTTGGAAAGCTTTTGGCAGAACAAGTAATTAATTTCTGAGAAATAGATCAGAGAACAGTGTATTGGAAAGATTTTGGTTTTATTTATTTATTCTAAAGTACTTCCATACAATAAGCTAAGGCTAAAATTTAGACTGAGATTTGTATGGGGAATATGCCCTTTTCATGGAAGGGGCAGATATGTCTAAATTCTGCCAAGTTACAAGCTTTGGAAAAGCTGGGGTTTTATGTGTAAATTAAACAGTTTTAGCAGCTAACAAGTCTGTCCTAATTGCGTGCTGAGGCCTGACCACACTGTCGTCATCTCAATGTACATCAGCATTATATATGCAACCCAGGCCTGAAGGAATGAGATTAAATTTCTCTGTTTGCTTCTAAATGTTATTGATTAGAGTGGGGTAGGGAGATGCTACAGCTTGCACCAAAGTGAGGGACATGGAGCAATGGGTGACCTTGGCTGAAAGATGGGTGCTTAATCAAGATAAAAAAAGTGGTGGGGCATGGGAGGAGGTGTGAGGAAGTGAGAGTAAGTCTAGAATAGTGTTGGATGAGGAACTCGAAGAGAACAGACTACTGAGCTCAGAGCAAAAGGGGTTTTCTGCAAATAAAGAAGGGTGGTAGAAAGCATCTGGTCATGAAAATACTGTATTATTATGTATACTTTCATTTTAAGAATGTGTAAAGGTGTGAATTCTGGTGTTTCGTTTGCTTTACTTTGCAGTCTTGGCCTTGTGTTACTTTGAGGTTTTGTCCACTTATTGAATGCATTGTAACAGCGTAGAATGCTTTAGGGAGACTTGTGTGGGAATGTTTATTTTTTTAAATTTGAGTATGCTGTAAGTGAAAATTAATTCCTTCTTTATTTGTATTGTTCTTAGAAAAATAGATAATGATCACTTTGCTTGCTTAGTAACCTAGTTAGTCTGCTTTGCTTGAGCAGTAGTATTGGATCTGGTATCTTGTACTTCACTTGCTCAACTTTTGAGCATTATTTTTCTGTCTGTCATTGCTTTTAACTAGTATAGACACAGGGTACAAGCAGTAGCAGAAAATGTACGAAAGCTTGGCATAATTGTACCTCAGATTATCTTCTCTGGTCTTTGTTGCAGTTCTGTGTGTTTGTTGTAAGCCATACTATTCTGCTGATTATTTTAAGGTGCCAGTGATGATGCTGTTAGCTGTGCAGTGATGCTTGAAATACTCAACACACTTTCAAAATCATCAGAGCCCCTGCAGCATGCTGTCATATTCTTATTTAATGGTGCAGAAGAAAATATTTTGCAGGTGAGAATATGCCAGAATTACAAAATATATCTCAAAGCTGTGTATTAAGACTCTGGCAAAGCAAAGAGTAACTGCAGATATGGCTTGTATTTAATCTGTTGAAATACAGTTAAATGCCAGTCTTAACATTCTGAGGAAAATGTATTTGATTTCAAAGGGAAAAATATACTTATATTAAGAATATTGTCCATATTAATTTAATTAGAAGACTTGGATTTTCTGCATCTGTTTGTGTTGTAAGTGATCTGGCTGCCTTGTCCAATCTTGAGTTATGATCATATGTGATGGAAAATAACATTTAGGCTGGTCTGGAAGATATTTGACCTACATTTTTTTTTGTTTTCCCATCAAGGCTAGTCATGGCTTCATTACACAACATGAGTGGGCCAAGTCAATTAGAGCTTTTATTAACCTGGAGGCAGCAGGTGTAGGAGGAAAAGAACTTGTTTTTCAAACAGGTATGAGCTTGCAATGTGTCCAGTTTCTACACTAGGATAATTTGATAATAAACAATGTAGACTTGAAGGAGTATTGAAAGTGACTCATAAGCAACAGACAGGAGAACCTCTGTGCCTCTCTCCCAGCCCTGTGTGGCAAATAAGTTGCTCTCCATCTTTATATACTTGTAGGCTAAAGCACTGCCACAGAAGTTGCCTCATAGGTGGGAAGCCTGTGTAGAACAGAATTACAGAAGTTGTATTTACCTTTTACATCAAGGTAGTAAGGAGAAAAACAGATTTGGATATCTTGTATGTCTTGCATACTTATATTTCATATGCTTTATTTAATTTTCACAGCAGCTCTTTCAAAATCTATGCAGGGAGTTGTTGGCATTAGAACTCCATCTGCTGCTCAGGAAGCAGCAAAACTTCTGCGTTTTGTAGGCTACAGTTAAACTTCTGCTCCATCCTAGTTGGACTGCAGGCTTCCATCTACTGCTGGAGCCGCTTAATTGTTTACTTGCACTGAACGCTTTAGTGGAGAGACTTTTCTCTAAACAACAATTTTGAGGTGTGATACATAGATGATAAATTGGAAACTCTGCCAAAGGTTGTGACTTCTTCATTAGTGCTGGGTCTTTTTTGAGAGATGGCTTATATACTCTGCCAATGAACACTCCAGGTATCAGTGCTTTCCACCCCACACCCCAAGTGTAACTGATTCTTTCTCTCAAGTATGAGTCATTCAGCTGACACAAATGCAGTTAGTATATACCCTGTGGGGCAACAGAGTTAAAACTCTAGTAGTTCCTTTGCATTATTTATTTGTTACCGTAAAGATAGATACCGTCACTGAAGTTCAAAAAGTGGTTATTGTGGAATTTCTGCTCATCTTTTCTTAGGACCTGAGAATCCTTGGTTGGTACAAGCATACGTAGTTGCAGCCAAACATCCCTTTGCCTCTGTGGTGGCACAGGAAATATTTCAGAGTGGCATTATCCCAGCAGATACAGACTTCCGTATCTACAGGGACTTTGGCAATGTTCCAGGTATGTTATCACAAGGCATGTCAATGTGCATTATGCAGCCATTTATCTTAAGTTTATAACAAGGAGACCTTTCTATAGTTCACTATGTGAACGTCCTCAAATTTGGTTTGTCTTTCAGTTTGGGAGCAAATTTTCCTGCTTTTTTGCTGAGGCAAGAGCCTTTAGATTTGGTTTGTCATGTAGGTTATTAAGGATTTTTTTTTGGAGACTGTTGTTTTCCAGAAAGAAACTACATGGTAGAAAAGTTTCCTCAAAATCAGGAAAACACTGCATGAATTAACAGTATGCTGTTAAATATTCTGTTTTGAAACATTTTGGTAATGGTGCCAATAACCTGCTTGCAAGAATTAAATGTCTGTACCTAATGGATAAACCATAATCATCTTTTTTAAAGACAGAAATGTAGTAATTAATGCATTTTTGTTACTTTTTTTTTTGTCATAATCAAACAGGACAGCAGTTACTGGTTTTGCTAATCTGTTTACAGTTTGCTATCCATTCTGCAGAGAATGACCAGTGGGGAAAAAATGTGGTACACACAATGCAAACACAATTCAAAGGAGTGTAGACTTCTGTAAAATCCTTGCTGTCTGGCACAGGTGGTCATTGGAGTCACTTTCAAGAAAAGTGATATTTCTGAATTGATTATTGGAACAAAACATGTTGGTATATTCTGAACTGTTCCAAAGTGTGCTTCTAGCTTGAAAATAAAGCAGCTGATTTTGTACAATGTGTTCTTTATTTGTTCAGAATTGTACCTGGATCATAAATGAATTCTCACTGAACTCTGTTTTTTCTAGACAAATAGAAATAGAACAATTGAGTTAAAAGAAGTAGTTTGTTCCTCGTTGTCTACTGGTAGAATTGAGGAGTGATTTGTTAAACCTCTGCAAAACTGTGGGGATTCAGATTGCAGACAGCAGCTTTTTGCATGTGCAGCTGAGGTGGTGTGTGTTTGGGATACACTGAATGTATAACTGATTTTGTAGAAAACCTTTTTTTTTGTAAATATTTTTGTTTGTTTTTACAAATTAGTTGGACTTATAATTTAAGAGTTCTCAGACTGGCTAGTTGAAAAGCTGTTTACAAGTTAGATGTAAAAAGAACATACCTGGTATTTTGAGAAGGTGTTCATATAGTTTGAAAGTGCTGCTTTTACTTACTTTACAGTGTGGATCTCTATTTACTAGTAAATGTTTGGAAAGCACCTTGTGCATCTTTTCTGAAGCTGAGATGATTAAGAATTTTCATGTGTTTCTCCAGTAGAGATGAGTTTGTGTACAGATGTCATGCAAATCAATACATTAGAAAGGACAGATATTTTAAAATGTTTTAAAGTGTTCTTTTTTAAATACATGTGTGTTGTGGTTTAAGCCCACACAGCAACTTGTCACCATGCAGCTGCTCACTCACTCTATTCCCCACCCCCACCCCGCCCCACACTTCAATGGGATGGAGAAGAGAATCAAAAAAAAAAGTAAAACTCATTGATTGAGATAAGAACAATTTAACAACCAAAGTAAAATAAAATGTAATATTACTAATAAAAAATATAATAATAATTGTAATAGAAAGGAAATAACACAGAAAAACACTCCAAGAAAAGACAAGTGATGCACAATGCAATTGCTCACCACCTGTGGATTGCTGCTTGGGCATTGGTCAGTAGGTGGTGAGCAATTGCATTGTGCATCACTTGTCCTGGGTTTTTTTTTTGTTTTGTTTTGTTTGGGGGTTTTTTTGTTACATTCCTTTGCATTATTATTATTATTGTTGTTGTTGTTAGTATTGTTAGTATTACATTTTATTTTACTTTAGTTATTAAATCATTCTTAACCAACGGTTTATTTTTTCTTTCTGATTCTCCTCCCCATCCCACTGGGTGGAGGGGGAGTGAGCAAGTGGCTACGTGGGGCCTAGTTGCTGGCTGGGCTTAAAGCACGACAACATGGAATCCTTGTTAGTCTTCCTTCTACAAAGCAGACTATTTTGTTCATTTTTAAGGATAGTGAGTGGGCTACAAAGTAGAACAATGTTTTTGGTGAAAGATATCTGAGGCTTTCACATGTTTTGAGGTTTTAGGTTTACGTAATTTCAAACATGCTTTTTCTCTCTCTGTAGGAATAGATTTGGCTTTTATTGAAAATGGCTATATTTATCATACAGAATATGACACATCAGACAGAATTTTAACAGATTCCATTCAGAGAGCAGGTTGGTATTTCAAGAATTTGGTAATTTACTGAAGAGCAGTGTTGTAGCTGCTTTTTCATTTTGCTGTAAGACTACCATCGCAAGAAATTCGTAATTTTAATTACACATTTAGAACATGCTAGACATGTTCTAAAGAACAAAGAATTAACTGAATGCATGTCTTTCAAATACAAAGGAAGTATTTTGTCAACTTGAGAAGAAAAACTTTATCAGCATCCAGTGATGTTCATTTGAAAGTAACTGTGGAATCTAGTTAAGGTTATAATCTAGCCGTTGATACCTGATTGTTTAGTGTTCTGTGTTTGTTTTCTCTCAGTAAGTCCCCTTATTGATTCATGTTCATCATGAGAAATTTATGGTTATGTTGGTGGCATAGTGACTGATCTGCCAACAGAGTTTTTCTCTTGTAGAATATATCTCAGTCAAATTTCTGTGGTAGCACACAGACTGTGGATAAACAGGATTTATTTTCTACTAACAGGTTGTGCTCATAGCAGGCTATTTGACATACTGCAGTAAAGAAAATTACAGTAAGACCTTTAGTTTTGCAGGAAGAATTAACGTAATCCTAAATGCCTGCAGGATTTTGACCATTTCCCTGATTAAGCTTATACAGAAGCCAGCTTAGATGACCAACATGAATAAGAGTTTTAAATGCTTTCTTGTGCCAATGCAGTTGCAAGACAGTAACACTTCTAAATTCCTGTTGGACAGGTGATTGTACTGGTCATGGTAGTTACATAGAACATCTCTTGCTAAACATATCACAGCTAAAAAAAAAAAAAAAAGACAAACTTTTTGGCCAGTAAGCACTTTTACGCATCAAGCAAAAGCAAAATGAAAGTTGAGAACAATTGTTTCGATTACATGTGTTTTGGCTGTACTGGGAGAAAGGAAAAGGTTGTTGATACCTGTAGGCCACAAAGGAAAATAATCTCCTTGTCTCCTACCTTAAAGTCATCTAGGGAAAGAAAGGCACATCATGCACAGTCACTGAAACATGGAGGTGTTACTAGTGGCAAGGAGAAGAGGATTAAGTTAGGAAATTACAAACTCATCTATGGGTTAGTCTTGAAGTCCGGTGCCTTAATATCAGACCTGAAGAAGGGCTTATGGGCTGGAAGCTTGATTACTCCCTTCATTGCAACAGTGTTTAAATACATGAAGCTTCCCAAGTATACTTATTTTAGTGACAGCTGTATAGATTAACTCATGAAAATAGTATGCTGTGCATACCATGGAATACCTATTTCAGAATCATCAGTTGTATATTCATGTCTTTGAGGATATTTCAATACAGTTTTATTTTTAAGAACACTTGTATTTTAAAGAATGCTGTGTACTAATTCATCAACCCTGATGTAGTTATGTATCTGCTTTTTTAATAGGTGACAATATTCTAGGTGTCCTAAAATACCTAGCAACATCAGATAAGTTGGCTAAATCTTTTGAGTATCGACATGGAAATGTTGTGTTCTTTGATGTACTTGGTTTATTTGTCCTGGCTTATCCTGCTCGTGTTGGCACCATCATGAACTATATTACAGCAGCAATTGCTTTTCTTTATTTAAGCAAGAAAGTATTACAGCCCAAAACTAGAGGTAAGCCTAGTTGTTAAAAAAAAAAAAAATCAATCATATTACTCTTTAATGAACAGCAGTTAGTAGATGGAGAAGTATTCAGATGATTAAGGCATCTTTTTAGATAAACTTCAGAAATAAATTTTAGGTGTGCAGCATAACATAGGAGATGCTTTGTGTTTTTTAAATCAACTGTGAATAATTCTGATGAAGACAGATTGTAATAGGCCTAGATGTCTAGCATTTATGAATCATGATTACATCTCTTATGCTTTCATGAAAAGTAAATCATTTAAAGATCTAAAAATGGAAAACAAACACCAAAACTTTCTTAGTATCTATATAAACTCATTGTTCTGGTAGCACAGGTAGGGCTTCAGAGTTCCTTCTTTAACACCTGTCCATAGGCAGGAGCAAATAAGTAAACAACAAATGGGAAAAAGACAGCAAAGCTTAAGAAAGGGTGTAAAACAACTTAAATCTTCTAGTTAGACCTTTTAGGGTATGTGTAGGAGCATACCTCTCTAAAAAAAAAAAATCAAACCAAAAAAACCTGCCAACCTGCCTCCCCCACCCCAAAATACAGCAAACTTTTTCTGGAGTAAGAAAGTTACAAGAAAAGCTAGTCCAACTTTTTTTTTTTTTTTGAGACGTGGCTCCACTGGTGCCCTAGAGAAATTTTTACTATCGGGAACATGGTAATCTGCAAAATACACTATTACTCTGGGAATAAATCTTGCAGCAGGGAAGACTGCAAAAAGACTTGCAAAGAAATAGGCTAAGTGATTTAGACTATGCTGTTAAGAAATCTTCAGAGTGGACTCCTCATGCAATTTTACTTTGGTCATTAAAGCAATTATACAGTGGGGTAAACTACAGTCTTGGTGATAGTCTGGAGTAGAATACATGACTGTTGAATCAATCTTCTTTCTTCTTCATAGCTATTCATAACCTGAAGAAATTCTCTACTGCATTCGGCGTAACACTGATAAGTTGGGTCTGCACACTGGTGACAGTCCTTATAGTGGCAGTGTTCATCTCTGTCATTGGACGATCTCTTTCTTGGTACACCCATTTCTATGTTTCCGTGTTTCTGTATGGCACTGCAGCTGCAGCTAATCTTGTTCTTGTGCATACACTAGCCAAGAAGTTCTTCCTCAAGGTAAGCTTGACTTCATTGCTAATGTTGAAGGGTAATGTAGTGTTTAATCTGTGGAAGACTTAATTTTTTAGTTGATTAAAAAGATGCAAAAGGTTTTCTGTATTGGACAGAAGTATTTAAAATGTTGCTGTAAAAATTGCTACATCTAAGCGTGGGGATGGCTCTACTAAATCAGAGAGTTAAGAGCTTTGTGATTTAAGGCTTTCTCCTTGCTAATGACCTTCAGGAGCTGCTTCAGAAAAAAGGGCAAAAACCTGGTAGAATACAGTGTAAGGTACTGTTTCTTTCTCTATCTGCACCTTGCCTTCCTGCCATCACTTCAGTGATAAGCGCGCAGAGCAACAGCTGGAGAATTTAGGGGTTTTGATACTTTTCAATGTTTTTGATGATAATTACAGAATCTACATATATACTGGAACGTTCTTTGAATCTTACCACATTGTTGCCTCTGAATGTACTTCCATGACAGGTTCCCTAAATTTAATAGTTTATTTTGGTACAGTACCTCCTTATGTATCTTTTAGTATTTTTATTCTTTACTTATTCTGATTTATCATTTACATTTTGTTGTGAAACTTGGAATTCCAGTTCTCTCTGTTTTATTCTGTTCTTTTATTATGCATGTTTTGGTGATGTCATTTGTATTTCTAACATTCTAAGCAAATAATATGATTTTTTTTCAGGTGGTTCATTTGAGAGCTTTTTTTCTTACATCTGTCAGAATTTCTAGTTCTGTCGTGCCCTCTTCCAATACAGTAATCTGTGCTGTACAGAGCTTTCTAAATGAAGCTGTTGTAAAAATTTTGAGTGGTCATCCATCCTTCTATGATCATTCTGATTGTTAGTTGTTTTGACCACAGCTGGAGATGGAACAGAGCTCTTGATAGTCCATGCTCTTTTCTACAACAGGTAAAGGTCATTTAGGCCCCTGCAAGGCTCGGTGAGGATTCGGTGGTGTTACCTTTCCATTGCTGTCATTCGTCATGATTACTGTCTATCTACCTTTTTTGCTTAGAATTCTTTTTTATGGACTAACCAACGTGATTCTACTTGCGTAGTAATGGCATAATTGTAGCTCACAACAGTCCCATATGTTTAGATGATAGTTTAATGATTTTATATTAAAAACAAATAGGGCTGTGAGGTTGTGCCTTGAGGTATCTGACAGATGATGCTCTTCCAGGGCAGAAGCTGACTGCTTGAGCCTGTTAGGTTTAGGTTTTAGGCGCAGTAGTATTCAGTTGTTCAGCTTGCTGTTACTTATCTTCTCTGCCATTTGTACAAGCTTTGGGCAAGAGAATTTAGGAAACATAAGATGTCAGCCAAATCCAGCTTCATCCTTGGATGTGAAGAAGTTTTAAGAATTTACTGAAATTTGATTGTATGGAAAGTTTGGGTGGATCCATCATGTCATTACCTGGAAGTGTTTTTTTTTAAATTGTTTGGGGGAGGGGAATGTTAACTGGTATATATATATGGTGGTGTCCTTTTGTGGAAAAGATGAGCCAATTATAAAAGAGATGTGATATTCCCATTTTCTAGTCTTTTGGAAGAGTTGATGGGAGACCATACTTTGATAACAGTTCAGCCGTTCCAGGCCCTGGATTTACTTCTTGCTTGCTGATTGTCTGATCAGATCAACCAACTTGATGTCATGAGTCTCTTAATTTTCTTGCATGCTGCAGTTTGCAATACACCATACAGTTTATGCTGCCTCTGTAACTTACATTGTACTTAAAGAGTTGCATAAAAATTTTGGAAGCTAATCTCTTTCTTGGCTATCACAGGCAATGCCTTGGTGTTTTCTGTTGTGAATTAATAAGCTTTTTGTTTTGAAGTAGGTTTGGCAACTCATATGTTTCTTCCCCCCCCCCCTTTTTTTTTTCCTACTCAGCCTGAAACTGAACTACACGCTTTTTGATAGCCGTTGTTCACGCAAGCAGTTGTTCTTGCTGCTAGCAGGTTTCACAGTTAAGAATCTTGCACTACAAACACTGTAGCATTGCCCATGTAACCTAAAAAAAGCCCACAAAACCAAATTACATTTTTGAAGGTTAAACTTCCTTCCTTTTTGAAAAGGTATCTAGTATTACCTGACCCATGACAGTGACAGCTGTGGACTAGTAACTGAGCTTGTATAAGAAGTGTATCAACAGGTACTGTTCAAAAACAGGCTTAGAATTGCAGGAGATACAGATAATTTTTTCACACATAAGTACTGCATAACTTTTTTATATACTTCACAAATACCAATGCTTTTTATAAAAAGGCCTTATTTGCCTGTGTACCTGAAACATTAGCCTTCCATCTTCTTGGTGTTGTAATTTGTACATTCCCTTCCTCCCTTCACCCCAGCCCCTGTAATCTCTTTTTGAAGCTATGTCAGAGCAGATGTAAAAAATGAAAAAAAAAAAAAAAGTATACTGTCATGGATAACTCTAAATGGTAAGAAAATGGTGAGATGATGCTTGTCAAAATTGTTTTGTCCAGGGAAAACAATTATATACAAGAAATAAGGATTTTTTCTGTGTGTTATCATGAGATGTGATACATGGAATATGCTCAGTAATGAGTGTATTTGCTTTTTTTGTTACAGAATATGAATGAGCAGTACCTGGGAGATATTTTTTTTGATGCCTCATTGATGATTTGGTCTATAACATTGACTGTGGTTACTCAGATGGGCCTTTGTTCAGCATTCATTTGCACGTTATGGGTAGCATTTCCTTTACTTGCTAAACTGATGATCCATAAAGAATTCAGCCAAAAAGGTATGAATTTTGAGGGGGGAGGTTGTATTCCAAAACCTCTGCCCCTACTATTGGATATTGAATGTTTTCCTCCAAACTGTTGTTTAAGCAAAAGAAATCCCAAACTTCGAATCTGAATAGTCAAAGTAACCATGTGACGTTTTTGTAACAAGGAAAGGTGTTCATGAACTAAGGACAGTTTGAAAGTATGGAGAAGCTCTTCAAAAAAAAAAAAAAAACAAACAACAAAAAAACCTGAAAAACTTACTGTGTCTCAAGCTAAAAAGAACAATACTATGTGAGGTTATTCAGTGATCAGATACTTTGATGGACAGTAAAGGTTGTTAAAAAATACTGTAATATTTAAACAGTGTTTGGAACAGAACACCTGTTTAAATTTTTTTTTGTAATACAAGAATTGTTTTGGGGTGTTTTTGGAAGAGTTACATTGGCATTGGCCATGTAAAATGAGATCCCCTTTTTATATCCGTGTAAGGGGTGAGGACCAGTATTGTGTATGGGACCTTGCAGCAGTATATGGATATATTAGTAAAGCTGTGTGTTTATGTCCTTTTAAGCTTTTACGATTTTTTTGTCTTTTGTTTTTTTGTGTCCCTTATAGGTGCCACAATGAAGTTTGTCATGGTGTACATGCTCGGAATGTTTGTTCCGTATCTGTATATGATGTATCTTAGTTGGACTGTATTTGAAATGTTTACACCTATTATGGGACGAAGTGGTTCCGAAATTCTACCAGATGTGGTGTTGGCAGGATTTATTGTGGTCATCACTATGATTCTGTCATCCTATTTTGTAAGTAGAATTTGTAAATGTTTAAAACATTTAAACTTTCTCTAGAGTTTAGAATCAATGTTTTTCTAAATTAATACTTGAAGTTAATGATCATTTGACAATATCTTAAGTGTTAAGGGAAACTTATAGGAAACATGTCAAAGATTCCATGTTTTGTGTTAGTCAAAGAAAAGTCATTGAAATGGGTTACAAAGATATATCTGCTCTATGATGATGTAGTAAAGATTGGTGTAAAATATGCAATTTAATGCTGGAGTTTGAACAGATATTCATTTCAGGTGAAGTATAGTATGTAGCTGAACAATACATATACTACACTTAAGAAAATTTCTTGGAGGTTTTTTTTTGTCTGCTGCCCTTGCCACAAAGGTTCTGAGTTTTTGTTGGCAGATGTTTTAAAAAACAGGAAACCATTGAAAGCTCCAGGAAGTACTCACGTTATTCATTTTGGTTATAAATACTGAGATTACTAAGAAATGTCTTGTGTCAGGTAGTACTTCCAATGGTATATTTTTAATGTACTTTCAGTTCCGTAGCTGGATTTTAGAGTTATACGAGTAGCGTCATATTTCTTAAATCTTGCAGTTTTATAACTGGGCTGTCTTTTTATTCTCTAGATTAACTTCATTTACCTTGTCAAAAGTACAAAAACGACGCTAATAACTCTAACTGCTGTGTTTGTAGTCACTCTGATTCTCGTTTGTAGTGGAATCTTCTTTCCTTACAGTTCTGATGCGGCTAATCCAAAGCCTAAGCGAGTCTTTCTCCAGGTAAGAAAAGCCTTGCATATCATATTGCCTCTGTTGGTTGCAAGAGTGTTTGTTTTTTTCAAAGCTTAACCCCCCACCCCACCTGCCCTCAAAAGAATAACCTTCCCTTTCTTGCTTGGTTTGAAAGCTCTAACAATTATTCCTGGATTTGAAAGAATTGCTAATGTTTCCCATGGTCAATCTCTGTGTTCAGGTTATCTGTCAGAGGAGCAGGCTTTTTTTAGGGGGTTTGAAGTGGGAGAGTTGAGTAAGCAATGATAATTTAAAAAGTGAATGTGATAGGAGATGAGCGAATACTTACAGGCACAGTCATCTTTTGAACATAGGTATTTTTATGGTATGTTTCTTTTATCTGAGTAATTCTCTCTATATATTCATAAATACTCAGAGATGTGTTCAGTGCGTACTGAAAATTGAGTAGACCTTAAGGATTGACACGGAGATATTTCAGAATCACTTCTGACTCTTCTGAACTGCGCAGGCTCCATCATCTTTCTCTGTGTCTTTTTCCTCCCCCCGCCCCCCCCCCCTCTAGCACACGAGTAGAAGATTTCATGATGTAGATGGAAATGTGGTTAAAAGTGACTCTGGTATATGGATTAATGGATTTGATTATAATGGGATATCTCACATAACTCCCCATGTACCTGAAATCAACGACACCATTAGAACTGCATGCGAGGAGCACGCTCCTTTCTGTGGCCTTCCTTGGATTCTGCCAGTGCATTTCATGTTCCGGTTGGTGTGAACACAGCTTCACTTGAGCGCTTACTGCCAAAGCACATTGGTCATTTATGCAATCTTGCTTATGTAAGGGAAGAAAAAGTAAGGCTAATCTTGGTCTAAAAGTAAATAATCCTTCCACTTCAGAAGACACACAAACTTCTGTCTAGGTGCAGTGTCTTCTGCCAGAATCTCTGCAAGAGATTGCTGGGTCTGCTGCAGGAGCTGTAGAAGTTGATGTGTGGAAAATCAATGTCAGCACCAGTGGAAAAAAAGGTGAAGGGGGCAGCCTTCCAAAGGGCAATTCAGAGTAGGAGTATGTATGTCTCTTCCCTTCTTCCCTGCCTCACCCCAGCTGACAGCAGAGGAAGTCTAAAGTAGCTGGTCTCCATGGAAGATAACAAGCTGCTGTGACTATTTCTCATACCCCAAGAATCTTCTGAGCAAAAAGTGTAGCAATTTGAAGAGGCAAATATTTTTACTTATTTTACTGTTTTGTAAATTAAGGCGGATGAAGGTAATGAACATAGAGGTGACTGTTTTTCTATTAATATGCACTTTAAATATTTGTCTGGCCATAAGATGCTAATTTTACCTGCCTTCTGCTAAGGTCAGTAACTTTTGAATATTTCATTTAGTAAGCACACAGTCAGCTATGCTGTACAAAAACTTCTTGGCTTCTCATATTTAGTACCTCTGAGTGTTGCATTGAGAATATGTTAAAAAGTTTGGGGTTTTGGTTTTGTTTTTTTCAACAGGAAAAACTGGTATCTTCCTGCTCCAGAAATTTTTCCAAGAAGCCCCCTTCACTTTAAAGTTCTGTCCAAGGAGCTGATGCCTTGGAACTCTGTGAGGTTAAGCTTTGAAGTATCTGGTGAGTGACTGAAGCTTCTGGTTTGTGATTTGTGTTTATTTTTATGCCGATAACAAATCAGGTTTTGACTCCAGTACTGCAGGTTCTAATGCCATTCCCAAGATAGTGAGCTTTGTGAGATTAGCATGAATTAATTCAGTTTCATAACACGCTAGAAGCTGTGGGTGTTGTGTTACAGTTGTTATTTGGGGTACTGATAACCTTGTCTATTTTGAGTAAGCCTTGATCTTTTTATACCAAGTCCTTTCTTAAAGTCGATTTTATAGCTCTGTCCCTCTCCTACATCATCATCTCATTTATCTCACCACTTAGAAATAATTGAAGCTTCTTCTGTACACAAGACAATTGCATCATGTTGTGAAAGACAGCAATAGTAATACATAGATAACATGCTACTACACAGGAAAATAGATGGTTCTTCTACCTCCACCTGTTGATACATCTAGATACATATCCCTGTCTCTGCAGGTCCAAGTCACATGTCTCTCTATGTTCGGCCACATGAAGGGTCGGTTCTGTCCACCTGGTCTCTCGGGGATGGTATACCAGTTGCTAGCTTAGGAGGAGACTATTTTGTGTTTTACTCCCATGGGCTGCAGGCTACACCGTGGCACTTCTGGGTAGAACTGACAGTGAGTATGCTGCTGCTGGAAATGCAGCAATCCCTTGGTCTGCCCTCTTGTCACCATTTCTGCGTTCTTATGTGAAAAATGTTATAATAACTTTCTTAAGCTTTGCTTTATTTGACAGATCCTAATTCTAGCTTCCCTCTTTTAATTTCTCCCTCAGCTTTATATATCAGCTCACATATATTTTTGATGCTTAGTCCACTAACTTGCCAAACAGCCAAAGGGAGAATATTTTCCGTGTCTCCGTGGTCTTAGGTTGTAAGTTTGGATTTCTCTGATCTTAATCTTATAGTTCTTGAAGTTTTATCTTTATTACTGTTATTTCAGAGTTCTTTTTCCTATTGTGAGTAGTTTCCTTTTGATGTATTTTGTTTGGTTGGTTTGGGGAAATTAGAGGGAGTCCTTGGTGGGAAACCTACCTGTCTTGAAGCTGAATAGAGTTGTAAAAGCTTTGTTTTCTAAATTTTCTTGTACATTATTTTCAGTTGGAAGCAAGGCTTCCAGCATTGCTGTTCCAGTGGGATTTATGACTTCCCTACTCTGTTAACTTGCCAGTGAAGAACTTTTTGCAGATCTATATGTTTTTTTATTACAGGTTTAACAGTGTCTTATTCTTTGAGTAAATATTACAAAAACCTTTGAAAGTTCAGGAAGTCCCTTGTTTCTTCCTGGATCAGGCAATGTAAACACTTAACCAAATAATTCTCTGAGGGTATTTGATAAAGGCAGACAGGAATCTGCAGTGTGATGAGCTTTGCAAGATTGATAGTGGCAAAGCTAGGCAGAAAAGCCTTTTCATCCTAAGGATCACAATAGAAGGATCAGTATAAATACTGTGTTGGAGTCCATGTCTTGATTTGTCAGCAAAATTAACAGATACAAACTTTGAAGTTGGAGCACATGCAAGCTATGTAATGTCAGAGGCACTGTGACCTGAATACCTAGTTGCAAGTTCAATTCATATTGAACTCATCATGTAATCAGACTGGTATGTTTGAAGACAGGAAGTGTTTTAACATATAGGACAAAAAGCTGCAGGATGAAGTTTGTTGCATAGATATCAAGTCTGTAGAAAAGTATATCTGGATTGATCTTATGTTTAAAAGCCATAAACAGTTATAAAGACTGTGTCGCCCTTTTCTCACTTTCAGGCCCCAGAAAAGCATTCTGATGGAATAGTCTCCCTCGCCATAGCAGCACATTACTTTTTTGGGGAAGATCAAAAGTCACCTCAACTCTATGCCTTACTGGAGAGGTTTCCAAACTGGACGTTTTCTTCTGGTTGGTCCTGCACTTACGACCTTTTTGTCTTTTAATGTTGACAGTAATGCAGCGCTAATAGGGTAATCTGTCTGATGCAGAATGCTGTTATAGCAAACACTTTCTAACAAGATGCCAGAGACTTTCACAAGAATTTAAAGTACTTTGGTGACAAATGGTGTTTCTTTGGCAGTTTGACTATTTAAAGACTACTGCTGTCTTGGGGATATGACTTCGTGTCAACATGAATGCAGTTCACCTTGGTTCTTCCACTGAAATGGCAGTTTCACTAGTGGGTTTCTTAAAAGGAAAACTGCATTTGACAAGGTAATGTTAGCATATTATGCCAATTGTAATGAAAGGGCCTCGTGAACTTATTTTGATATTATGTAAAATACAACTGTACTTCACGCACACGTGGGGACTATCACCTACCAATCCTATCCGTCCTATTAAAGTAAGACCTTCAGCTAAAGGATGCTTGTTCACGTGGTAGGGGGGCAGAGGTGGCAAAGTCCTAAACATTACTTTTGTCACTGGATGAAGTCACTGAAGCTATGCTGCTTGTGTAGGTTGCATTCCCAGTCCTTGGCAAATGTACAATGCAGAAAAATCGGTATTATGATGGAATGTGGTAACTATTTATCTAGATTATCTTCTCCAAATAATATGTTGCTGTTAAACTTAGTTCCTACCCTTTTGCCTGTCTCCTCAGTGTTACAACTTGAGTGGGTAAGTTTGACCTAACCATCGTATTGTGTTTTTTTTCCTGTTGGGATCTTTCAGTATCAGCATGTAAGCATGGGACTTGCTCTCTTGTATGTAAGAGTGCTAAGTCCCCGCTCCTTTATGTGGATGTCTTGTAATTAACCTACTTTATGCTTCAAGTTATCTTCTAATTTGTTAGAATTGGCTAATTTTTGGTATCTCCTCTGGAGAGACTTTTGGTAATGTGACGGTATTGCACGTCGCTAATACGTTTAACTGTTTCTTAAAGTACAGTTTGCTTTCCATAAGGAAAAATACCAGGAAGAGTCATCTTTAAAAAGATCTCTAATATTTCTTGATTGCTCTTATTTCCATAGGATGGGTTTTGTAAATGACTGAGAGTGCTTTAAAATATCTTCCAGTTTTAATTGACAAGCTTTGAGTTCAGAAGACACTGATCTCTTTGGGTTTTTTTTAATAATCCCAGGGGTTTTTAAGTGCAGTGTAATATTTAATGTTAGTTTCTGAAATTCAAAGAACTCTCTGTACCTGGAGAAAATTCATACTTTTTTCCAAACAATGTATAAAACATTGTGACATGAATACTATGCTACAAATTTTACAGATCAGTATTTTGTTCATCTCATGAGTATTGCCAACATTGCATGCAAAGCAGATTTTGTGCATGCATCATCATTTTAAGTAAAAACATGCTAGTACTCGGAAGTTTGCAGGGCATGTGAAAGAAAATCTTGTGACTCTAATCTGTGTGAGCTGTGATGGACAGCAGCTCCCTGATCGGGTATTTTTCCTTCAAATTGTTCTGTAGTTGTGGATGAAAGTGGCAAGAACCAGTTTCATTTGTTGCAAGGTACATTTGTGAAGACTGTCAACTGGCTCATGGACTAGAGTAAGAGGTTTAATTACTGTAATCATAATGAACTGTCCATCAGTATCTTAAAACCAGTGAGTCTTTCTACATTAACATGTGCATTAATCATCACTTGCTTGATTGTATCTGATTTGAAACTACAATCCCTGTATTACACATTTACTATTTTTAAAAAAGTGCTATTAATGATATGAAAAATGGAGGTTTAGTTCATAACTCTTGTGTCTTGAATCTCAGCAAATGTTTTGTACTGTACTCTAGCTGATGTACAGCTAGTTAACTAAAGCTGTGCTGATATTTACTGTCTTCCTCAGTTTTGATTTTTATTTTGTGTTTTGCCTCTGATTTAAAGCTTTGAAAAAGTACTATGTGAAGAATTTGTAGTGGGAGCCAAAAATATAAAAATGCCTGTTAGAAATGTCTGAAACTTCAGTGAAGCAATAACTTTTGCTAACTCAGGATTTAGCCTTTATTAAATAATTTAATTATGAGGGATGCCTGGTTTGTTATAAATTTCTGTCTTTGTAAATAAAAGCAAAAATCAGTGAAACTTGATTTTCAGCATGATTAAAGGCATATTTGAGTTGTTTTTATTCATTGCACTTTGTTTTATTTAAGCTTGGGGTAGATATACTTTTAAGTGATGCTGGAGTTAGACAGCTAGCATTAGAGCTACGTGGAAGATAATGCATGGCCGAAGACTGTAAAAATTGTTAAAATGAGGGCCCTGGCTGGTTGCCTGGAGAGGAAGGTTCTTCCTGAAACAAGATGTGGTCTGGAAGTCACTGGTAGCAAACCTAAGTACTCTTTGCAAAACTGACAGCTGAGAGCAAATTTATTGTTGATCACAGGTAGAAAAACAGGATGGAAAATTTTGCTGTTTCAGTGTCTGTCTACTTCCCTATTCAGTACAAGCAGATTAGTCTTTTACTGTGGTTTATTAATTCTCATAAAAATTGTGTGTCTTACTCTGAAATATATGATAAGCAAGCAGCTGGTAATTTTAAGGATAGAAGGGCATGGGAGTAGAAAAACTATTCTTAGTGGGGGGCAGTCAGCAGCCAGCTGATTGGAATTACCCTATGTTCATCTGAAACAATTTGCATGCACAGGCTTTTCTAAATTGCTTTACTCTTCCTTAATGCTAGAGTTCTTCCCTGACTTTTGATGGCTTTGAGAATCTATTATGTTCTCTATTAACATACATAGTACTTTGTTTCATATCTGTAGATGAAAGAGCTTCAGAAATAAGCACTTTATCAATTTAAGCATGTGGTTGCAAAGCAGGCCTGTACCCGTTGTGGTTATACAACCTAATGCAGCATTAGAGCGTCACTGTACCTTCAGATTGCCTGTCAAGTAGAAGCAGACTGTTGAGCTGAGTGGAGCTATTCTCTGTTAGCAAGACCCGTCTTTAATGTCTGTTCATTTTAGGTTGCGTTGCAAGCCTGTTGGAAAAACACTAATCAAATAGACAAGATCTAACAAGTCTATACAGAGCTAATTGTAGCATATGGGACATAGCTGCTGAAGTTTGCCTGCATGGTAATGCTGTTCACTACTTTTTTCCTCGAGGGCTAAACCTAATCTGGTTCCTGATAATAATCAGGAAGGAGCCTGCAGGATGACCCATTTTAGAACTTGATGTGTGGTCTCAGTGAAGGATGGTTAAAAAGCCATGCAAGATCAGTAACCCCAAGTGCTGTGACAAAACTGTGCTTCAATGATGTGAAGTTGCGCAAGTGTGACTTCTGTTTTGAAGCTAGAACATGGATTCTCAAGTCTTAATGGAAATCCGTTCCAGTCTCAGAGGATAAATTAGTCCTAGAAATTAGGCTTCCCTGTTCACTGCAGAAGAGGTTCTGTTGGGCTATGACACTTTATGGTTCTGACAAAGCTGCAGATGCAGCTTGAGAACATGCCAAGGATAAAGCTGAGACTTGAGCAGGAAGTATAAGCCAATTTAGGGACACCTAGTCACTGCTACCTGTATTTCAAGCAGGGTGTCAAGCACCACTGGCCATGAACAGAACAGTTTTTTAAAAGATTTCAGTTTCAGAAGGCTGTAAGAATCAGTCTTGAAAGTTAGCAGTAGTTCATCTAGAAAGGAGTAATTCTGCAGTTGGGTCCGAGACTCTGGAACAAACAGAAGCTTCAAAGCCAATAGGTACAGGAGAATTTAAGTAACTGTCTTAGAAAGCTGCCCATGCATGGTTTATTCGGGGTTGTTGCTTTTTCTGTGTGTGGTGATCTGGTGGGTTTTTTTTTTTGATAGGAAACAATAATTTGAAAAAAGTTATGAAAGAGTGGTTAGGTGCCTTATGTCTGAACTGTTTAGCTAGCTTCAGCCTCCAGTTGTGTGCTTTTGTAAAGTCTCTCTTCAGTGCTGTCTGGCAGGAAACTCCTTGAGTTTACTTATCTTTGGTGGTACATGATAAATAGAAAACTCAGCAAGTTGTATCTTTCTTTCAGAGTGGTATGAGAAAGCTCTTTCCTTTTCTGTGTTTAAGCACTTGGGACTACTTTTGCCGTTCACCACAAGCTGGCATTCATCTCACTGCCCACTAGAATATTTCAACAGTCTTCAGCTCTAGGATAGGAAACTATGATGAGACAGTAAATTGCATCTGTGGCCTTTTTTTCTTGGGGCCTCTCCTTCCTTCAGTGAAGCCAGCCTACCACCCTCAACAAGTTACCCATCATCTTTTATATATAATTATAGCTGTAGACAGCTCCCCTTGGTTTATGAGAAGGGACCTCTTTTGTACAGGTTCTGGCTAGATTATGCATTCATGTATTTGTTTACTTAGGAGTGAATCTCAACCTGTAGCTTACAGACACTTCAGCTTTAAAACTGTTTTAAGTTGGTGAACACATTAGTGAAAAATTAGCTTACTTTGGTTGACATAAGTGATGGTGAAAATTACCCTCAGAAATGTGACTTGACTCAAGCAGTTTTGCAAGTATACCCTGCATGAGAGGATTTTTTAAATGGGTAGCAAGGAATCCAGCATTGTTGCTGTTTTTCAGAGACAATTGGTTTTGTACAGGATGAGAACCAGATCAAGAAAACTTCATATGCAAATGCTGGTGAAGGAGGAAGTTGGACATCTTTCTACAGCATTTGATGGCAAATGCTTAAGTAGGCCAGGCTGGTAAGAACCAGGGCAGCCAGTTTTATGTGAGCTGGATAAACGAAGTATGATGAGAGGCAGTGAGTTGGAATTCCATAGACAATGTTGACTCCCAGCTGGTTAAATGGCCCATTTTTCCTATGTGTATGTTGAGGTAATAGTGCATATTTGTAGATGAATAAAGCTTTTGTGGTGCGTTAATCTTGACTGGCTGCCAGGTGCCCACCAAACTGCTCTCTCATGCCTTCTCCTCAGCAGGCCAGGAGGAGAAAACGAGATGAAAAAGCTTATGGGTTGAAACAGGGAGATTACTCATTGGTTACCATAACAGGCAAACCAAACTGTCCTTGGGGAAAATTGACTGCCAATTAAAAATAAAGTAGGATAGCAGCAACAACAACAACAACAAAAAACCCGCCTTTGCCCAACCTCCCCCTTCTTCCCAAACTCAACTTCACTCTTCTACCTCCTCTTCCACAGTGATGCAGAGGGATCGGGGATGGTTAGTCAAGGGTTGGGTCATGGTCAGTCTGTAACAACTCCT